CAGATTTCAAGTCTAACAGCGGAAGGCCATCTCTACAGGAGGTCTTCACTGGACCACTTTTAAAAGGTGCGTACACCCTTTGGCAGGGTTGAAGATTTTCTTTAACGAGATTCAATGAAGAATTTGTGGAAGCATGTTGGGGGCGATCGCTAAAGCCCATAGGGCCATTACCCAGGGTATTGGTGGCCCTACATGCAAGAAAGGCATGCCGAAGCCTATGTAAAGAAGTGTAACAATGTCAAAGGTTTGCACCTTTGATACATCAGCCAGCCGCCGACCTAAACCCAGTATCCAGCCCTTGGCCGTTTGCCCAATGGGGCATGGATCTTGGTTGGACAACTTCCGCCAGCGCAACTGGGCATGAAATACTTGCTGGTAGCAACAAGACTACTTTTTACAAATGGATAGAGGCAGAACCCTCTTTGCCAAAATCCCGAAGATTGTGGACGTCAGAATTTAGTATGGAGAAAACATTATCAAACCAGATTCGGGATTCCAGAGGGCAATTGTTACCGAGCACATGGAACACAGTTCGACAGCAAACCTTATCAAAAAATTTGTGCAAAAAATTCAAGATCAAGAATTATTTCTCAACACTGAAGTTTCCTCAAGCAATGGGCGCAAGCAGAGGGCATCCAACAAAGTAATCCTGGATGGAATAAAGAAGAGGCTGCAGGCAGCAAAAGGAGAAGTGGGTGGTACGAGTTGCCCAACGTACTTTGGGCATATCGGACTACACCGAGAAGATCAACAGGAGAATCCCCCTTTGCCATGGCCATGGCACAGAACAGTTTATCCATTAAGATCGGCATTCCCAGGGAATCAGAACCCAGGGAGTAGAGAATGGCACCAAATGACAATACTCTTAGCCCGAGACCTAGATTTTATTTGGAAGAACGAAGAGAGTAAAGCTTGCGATTCAGCTCGCAGTATACAGCAACAGCTTGCCAGAGCTTACAAAGAAGGTTAATCAAGAGATTTTTCAAGTTGGCGACCTAGTCCTAGAAAAGTCGTTCGAAACAGAAAGGATCCAGAGAGGGCAAGCTTGGCCCAAACTGGGAAGGACCCTCAGAGTTTACTTCAGTATTAGGCAATGGAGCCATATCGGCTTTGTAGGACAATGAGGGCAAGCATTGCCACAGACTTGAATACTTGTAATTTTGAAAATTTTTTCTATGCATTAGAATAAACATCAATTGTTTTGGCCGATAATTATCAATAAAGTCTTTTCAGAATTCCTTTTCAACATGTTCGATTGATAAAGTTATTGCATGGATGTTTACTTGAGACATATCAAACTCAGGCAAAGTTAAGCCAAGATTTATTCCTTAATTCCACTTGTTGAAATTTGTAGCAATTTTATAAGTGGAATTAAGCTGATTTCCTTACTTCACTTGTTGAAATTTGTAGCAATTTTACAAGTTGAAGTTAAGCCTGATGTTATTCCTTAATTCCTTGTGTAAATTTGTAGCAAATTTACAAGTTGGAATTAAGCTGATTCCTTATCTTCACTTGTTTGAAAATTTGTAGCAATTTAAAACAGTTGAAGTTAAACCGATGTTTTCCTCAATTCACTTGTTGAAATTTGTAGCAATTTACAAGTTGCAATTAAGCTGATTCTATCTTCACTTGTTGAATTTGTAGCAATTTACAAGGTTAAGTTAGCCGATGTTATTCCTTAATTCACTTGTTGAAATTTGTAGCAATTTACAAGTTGGAAATAAGCTGATTCCTTACTCTTCACTTGTTGAAATTTGTTAGGCAATTTACAAGTTGAAGTTAAGGCCGATGTTATTCCTTAATTCACTTGTTGAAATTTGTAGCAATTACAAGTTGGAATTAGCTGATTCCTTATCTTCACTTGTTGAAATTTGTAGCTAATTTTACAAGTTGAGTTAAAGCCGCTGTTATTCCTTAATCACTTGTTGAAATTTGTAGAAATTTACAAAGTTGGAATTAAAGCCTGATTCCTTATCTTCACTGTTGAAATTTATGTCACCCAATTTACAAGTTGAAGTTAAGGCCGATGTTATTTCCTTAATTCACTTGTTGAAAATTTGTAGCAATTTTACAAGTTGGAATTAAAGCTGATTCCTTATCTTCACTTGTTGAAATTTGGTAGCAATTTACAGCGAGATAGGCGAGGTTATGCTTAAGTTCTCATAGCATAATGTGGGGTTGTTTCAAACCTAAGCGAGATGCTTAACACTTGTGAATTTGTAAGCCATTACGTTTATGATTAAGCCGAATACGATCACCGCTGAGGTCAAGAAAAGTTACAGCTAAGTATATTACTTGTGAAATTTGTAGCAATTTACAAGTGGGTAGCGCTAAGATAACCCGTTTTAAAAACTTGTTGAAAACTTAAAGCTTGCAAAAGTTTACATTCCGAATTATATGTTCTATACTTGTTTGAAATTTATGAAAAGATTGCAGGACAGTTCTTGCCGAAGTAAAGTTTTATGTATATACCCGAGGTATGTAACCCGAGAAGATTGCACAAAGAAAGAACATGCAAAGATTTTTTCTAGTACAATGACCTATGCAGAAGCAGTCAACAGAATTCACAAATCAAAAACTCCAGAGAAAGACTGTTGCAGTTTTATATTGAAGAAACCACGTCGGCCAAAAGAAAGAGTTTTTTGACATTTTATCCGAAAGTAAAAAAGTTCAAAGAATGCAAGTACAGAAAAAGAAGGAAAACATATAAAGGCAATTTTGTCAAGTTCCTTCAATGTTAAGACCACTGCAGGACTGGGACCTAGCGACGATTCTGGGGGAACTCGGTTGGCCACTTTTCCGCTTGTATCTCAAGCATCAATCCTGCGATTGTATTTCCACATTCTTTCTACAATAGAAGATGGGCAGATAGCTGCCAAGTGGCAAGTCTCTTGGTGCCACCCTAACCTAATCACCCTCCTCATCCAAAGTTAGTCCATAACCTGCTCAGCAGGAGGAGGGGACTTGGCTTACGGCAAGCTACCTTGGGTTTTCTCCCAGGCTGTCAACCCATTCATCTTTTTCTTTCATCTTCATCCACAGCATCGGCTCAGATCTGATTCACCTTCAGGAGGAGGTGGAGGAAATGGGCTTAAGGGAATAGCGTCGGCCTTGCGGCAATGGCGAGTCACAGGAAGATCAAGCTTCTTTATCAAGGACATCCAAACCAAGGAAATCCCTGTTGCATGGCCTGCCTGCTTGAAACTTGTTGAGTCTTTTGCGGACATCGGCCATACCTTGAGCATAGGCCTTTTCATCGGCCTCTTTGACTTCCGGCCTCTTTGGTGCCAGAGCCTGCTGGAGTTTCTTTCTCTGCTTGGGCCTTCTAGCCTCGCTCTCTTTTCTCGCTTCAGCTATTTTTTTACACGGCCTTCAGCGCCCGGCCTTCTCAGAGCTAAAGTTTTGTAACTTTCGTTGCAGCTCGGCCCATGATCCTCCAGTTTTTTCATTTTTGCTTCAAAGGGCCCTTTCTCTTTTTTCATTGACAGATGCTTCCTCTCTTCATATCAACCAATTTTGACGATTTTCAAAGGATTGGCATTGAAAATGAAATGGGCGTGTTGGATAGCCTGAATGAAAACAGAAATATCAGAAAATTTTCTCAGAAAGAAACAGAAGGAAAAAAACACAAATACAAACAGAAAATACTTACTTGAGCAGAGTGTTGGAGCATAAGAGCGTAATTTTCATACTCACTAAGCTTGCCATTTCGCTCCAAGTCATTTGGTATGAAGAAGAGCAGTGGCTAAAGGGGCGACAGCACATTAATGTCATCAGCACTTTCACTAGCCTAATGGGTCTATCCTCCAGGGAAGATCAGGGGCCCAGGGGACGTCGGGCTTCTTCGAAGCCGAGGTCGTCGGCATACGATGACCTTGGCCTCTTTGATTGTGTAGACCCTGAGGGTTGGCCCTCAGCAGACCTCTTTGTTGAAGTAGAGGCTGATTTTTTTGCTTTCCGCTAGTTTGGAAATCGGCAAAGCATCCTCAGCCTCAGCATTTGAAGCCTTGGCCTTAGGCTGAGCCTTTTTAGCTCTCTTTGGTTTGGGTGGGGAGCATTGGTTGCGTTGGTCCGGCTTCGGTGGTAAGTTGGAAGGTCGGCGAGAAGGTCTTGAATGACGGGCCTTGGACGAACCATCTCGGCAGTCTTTACAAGCCTTTTCGGCGTTTTACGTTCAGGAGATTGGTATTAAGTAGGGGCCGAAGTTGATGGAAGATCGGCTGGGTCAGATGTGGACTCTTGATCTGTTCGGGATGTAGAGCAGTTAAGGTTGTGGCTGTGGGTGGAGAGAGAACTCTTCTTCCTTTTTCTTGGGACGTAGGGTAAGTGGATTTGTATGTAGGGATGAAGTTTAGTAGTACTGGGGCTTTTCGTTTATGGATTGGAAGGCCAAGTATGTTTCAGATCTGTTCCTGGAAGAAGGATTGGCGAAAATTTTTCGGTGGCTGATGAAGATCTGCAAAGAAACAGACGTCAGAAACAAAAGTATTAAAGTCTTGAATAAAAACAACTAAGTGTTGACTCAGGGCTCTTATCTTCCCCTCTGTAATTGTTCGAGGAAGAGGGTAGAGG